CTAAGCAGTGAGTGTACCTCCTGTAGGCTTTGGGAGGGACGTGCCCAGGGAGTTGGGTTACCAGGCTGCTGATAGCTGAACACACCTTATGCTCTTCTGCCAGCAGACAAAAGTGCCCTCGCACCGTGCCTGCTCACAGCCCCTGTGCGAAGCTCTGGGAGCCAGATGTATTGTGCCACAGCAGATGTCAGCAGCATATGGAAGAAGGAAGGAGAAAATGATAATCTAAAACCAGGAAGGGTGAGCGAACAGATTTGATGCTGAAGTATCAAAACATGTCTGTTTCAGGGCTCTGTCCTGATATACCACTAATAAAAAAAAAAAAATTTGTGCTAAAAAAAAGTCCGGAGTCTCAGCATTTAAACCTGGCATTCACTGGATTTGTTCATAGGATCTCACTTTGCACCCCAAGTCTGACGTAGCTCTGCACTGAATTTGATCCTTTCTGGGTGAGACTTGCCTCTCTGCATAACTGCACTGTCTCTCCAGTGCTCCACCAGTCTGGCTCCCAAGTGCATGGTGATATTGAAAGCAGTGTATTTTTCTTCTCAGTGAAATATCCTGTCTCCCAAGCAATTAAATATTGTTTATATTTCAAATGATGTGCAAGAATTGAGATTGTAGGCTTGATGTTACCTGAGTCTTGTGCAAGGCACATCCCTCATTCTACTGTAACTGCCATCTATTTATTTAAATTTCCAATCTGTGCTCTCTTAAGGGGATAATACAGTGTCTGGCAAAGAAGCAGCTTCTCAATTTTTAAATTATATTTCTTACAATGAAAAACTGTATGAATTACTTGCCTGTGCTCATAAAGAAACACTATATTAAAAAGGGAGGTAAATTCCAGGGTATTGTATTTAACTCTCAGATATTTATGTTTGCTCAAAATATTTAAAAAAACAGATATTCAGATATAAAGAGGTGCCTTTGTTAAGTGATAGAACTATTTAGTTACTCACAGCAAGTAAGACATTTGTAGCATTTTAAAGAATCTTATTTGCAAGAAGTGATTTCTGAAGATGATACCATTAGGTACAGATATGCTTGAATTAAGAAAACCATAATGTTTGAAATCCTGCTTTGAAACACAAATGTCATAAGCACAGATTAAAATGTTTTGTTCCAATGCACCTGACAGAGCAGCCTTCCACTTAAAAGGTTCAGCCTATCTCCAGTTGTGTGTTGTTCTGGGCACCACATGACTTAACTGTTTATAACGCAGCCAGGAAAACAGATGTCAGAGCATGCAAATTTGAACCTAAATATCTACCGACACATTCCACTGTGCAGTAATAACACATCTGATTTAACACTGAGGAATTAAAATCTAAAAGACACACACAAATTCTGCAATGAACCAGAAGAAATGAAAGTCACTTTTTTCCAGTGTAATTGCAGAAGACACAATATTCTGCTGGTTTTGTCAAAACAAGAACTCAAGGTCTATTTTCAAAGGCTGTTTAAGGAGGTAAATAACATTCACACTTCATTGTGAACGACCTTGGATTCCCAGAGTTCACATCTGTGAATTTACTGAGGTATTTTTTCAAGGAAACACAAATAAGAAGGATCTCATACTCTTCATGTTACTCATCTCGTTGGAATGCTGGAGCTCATTTCATTTTGATAATCGAGGCTCAGGCTAATGACATGAATGGTGCAGGAAAAAAATGTTCATGCTGCCAACAAGGAGAGAGTTAAGAAGGACTTCATTTGCAGGAGTAATGAAGATCTTAATAAATAAAAAAAGAAGGAAAAGGCAAAAGGGAAAGGGAGGCAACAGAAACAAACACTGTTTGCTACACACTGAATTGCAAAGTGGTGAAAATTTGCACTGGTCCATGGTTTGATGGGTTTCTTTAATTTCTGCAAAAATTAAGTGTTCAAACCAAGTTCTTTGCAGGTATGAAGGGATTCAGGGTAGTCTACAGAGAATGGAGAGTATATTATAAATCCTTATGTATATGAGGCCTCAGATGCAGTGGATTCCCAGCCCCAGTCACCAGGCACTGAAGAACTGGTTCCTTTGTTCTGTGAAGCTCCACACCAGTAGAGACTACCTGGCTGAAAACTTAAAATGAAATTCTGTTTCCAACTGGCACAAAAGCTCCTCTGTACTGTCTCACCTGCAGTCACTGCTGTACCAGGTAATTTCAGCACACCAGAGGAAGAGGAATATGCTGACAACACTGGGGCAAGAGTTTCTAGCCAAGTCTGTTACACAAAATGAATGATTTCTTAGTTTTATGCTGCAGTTTGCAGCAAGTGAAAAGATATTGTCACCTCTGTTACAGACTCAGTAAATATCTAGACCACATTAGGGGAGTGGCTGATAAGCCTACTTCATCTCTGCTCACCATAAGATTTCCTTGCTGTCAGGAATTTCCAAGGTTATTTTGACAACAAAAGTTGCTTGGATTCAGACCAAGTTATCTACATCTGTGGTTCCAAAGCAGTATCTTGGGTTGAGATATTCTTAGTTATTTTGGCTTGCTTTTTAGCTAGTGAACTTCTGGAGGCACTGCAGGAGCTGAAACCTGCATGTGGGGTACCTGCAGCTCTGTCTCATGAGCTGGCAGCAGAGCTCAGGAGTCTTCTGAAGTGGGCACCACATCAAGGTCATGACCTTCCTTAAGAAAACAACTGCAGAGCATCTGCTGAAGAAACAATCTTTCAAGTTAAATCCTGACAAGAGCAGATATATTGTGATCCTTCTTTACTTTAGGATGAATTCTCCAGGCTCTGCAGCAGCCCAAGTGTGGTGATAATAGAGACCTGAGATTTTAGATTTTAACTCCAAGTTTTACATATCTCAGTGAGTGTGTGTATATGTGTATGTCTATATGTATATATATATATATATACTGCTACTTTCATCTGAAGTCCACACTTAAATTGTCAACGTATGATGATCGTCGGACTCAATCTTATAGGTCTTTTCCAACCTTAATGATTGTATGAGTCTATTACATGAACTGCCCCTTGCCAGAGTTGAAGAATGTTCTTTATTGTTGCTTTACTTCCTTTTTTAGGCTGTCACAAAGAGCTCATGTGGTGATTCCATGTTGCCCAAGGGAGCCCATCAGGTTCAATGCCATTATTTTACAGACACTGGCTGTGATGCCAAAGGAAAGGTAAAGCAGACCAGTGTAACTACTGAAGCCCACTCTGCTTTCTTTACTACCTAGAACAGGGCACAGCTCATGCTCACTGAAAGAGAGGGGTCTTTTCTATATTCTCTATCCAGGGCTGGTGTCTTTAATCTCACAACAATCACAGCAAGGCAACTGTTAATTAGCAGAACTTTTAAAATTTCAGTATATTCTTTTGCTGGATTTTAATGCTTTTCAATCAATAAAAAAATAAACTTACCTTTTTTTTATTTAAGCGATGTACATTGCTGAAAGTTTATTTCTGGAGAAACAGTTATGCACATAGTATTGGTCTATATTGCGCTAATTTTTTTTTATATTCAACTTGAGCATATATGTCAAGTTCTCTTTAAATTTCCCTTAGGAGAACCAAAAATATAAATGCTTGGAGTAGATTTTAATTAAGTATGGAAACTTCCCATAATGAAAAGAAAAATCCTTCTAAATACAGTCATCTTAAACATCTTGCAAAAACCCACATTCAGTTGCCCCAAGCAATCACTAGCCACATGGAAGAAATTGTCCAGACATCTTGCATTTTCTACTTTAGTTCAGGAAACCTCTAGGCCTTACTACATAAAGAAAAACTTCCCTACAAAAGATTAACTCCTAAAATATTCAACTAAAACCAGATGGATCTAAAACTGGACTAGAAGCTAGGTATGAATTAAAATTTCTTGTATTAGGGCCTCTTTTCTCCTGGTCTATAAACCCATCTGGGTTATTTCACCAATCTATCAAATAGACTGATGAATTATTTTATGGAGAAGTGCCTCTGGTGAGGATGAGAGACAGCCAAACTAGTAACTGACAGAGGTAATAGCAACAACTAACAGCGACCAATGCAGTACTCAGAGAGACAGCAGGGTGCATCTCTGCTCCACGCTCCAAGGATGAAACACTTTGCACTGTCCTTCTTCGGCTCCCCAAACATACTTCATAGTTAGAAGAGAGACCAGTGTGATGACAGCTAGACAGTCTAAGCCTAATCTCGATAATTCTGAAATAGTGGCAAGAATCACAGCTTCTTGTGACCTGGCACACAGTTAAGCAATGTGCTTGGCCATCATGGGGGAAAGAATGCCAAACACAACCGCTAAACACTTGATGAAAATAAATACAACTCTAAGAGGTATGAAGAGTTGTTTGCTACACATTTCTTTTAAATTTTGTTACCATAAATAACTTTATTTCTTTGTTTCTTACTGTTTATGTTAGCTATTAAAATAAAATGAATCCTTGAAGTGCACCCTTGAAAAATATTAACTCAGTAAATGTACCTAGAAAAAAACAAACAAGGAAGCAAACACATACCAAAACATGACACTATCCTGCACAAGTAATTCTAACCCTAAAGAGGGAGTGAAAGAAGGGATGGTGTGTGTCAGAGATAAGTTGTGTCAGCTCATGAGGGCAATTTGAATGCCAGGGACAGTCAAGTGCATGTGATGGAGTAACCTACATGTCAAGGATTAAAGTAATTTGAAGAATAAGACCTTTCATGTGAAGAAGGATGCTTGCAACAAGTTGTCTTACTCTGAGAATATTTCCAAGATACATGATTACAGCAACTTAACAGAAAAAAACTCCCCATCTGTAGCATTCGGAAGGCTGTGTTTTAGCTGTTAAAGAACAGGTAGATAGACAGATGTCATGCATTTCCAGCAGGTAGGTGAGTGTCATTACCACTGGCATATAAATGGCAAAGAAACCCATTTCAGTGGGGGAAAGCTAACAGGGCAAGTAATGAAACACATCCGACAGAAACTGGCTTCACTGCTCTGGCCTCTGCACGGCTCCTGCTTTTAAGGAATAATAAACTGAGAAGTAGCAAATGCTGCTTACCTTTCAATTTTTCAGCCAGCAAAGCAGCTTCATGTTCAGAATAATGCATTATTGCTGGAGGTGAAGGAGGGCGCAGTCTGTCCTCTTCCATTTTACGTCTGTGGCGTTCTTCTCTGGCTAGCATTCTTTGTTTGCATTCCCATTCATAAAAGTCATCTCTTGCCTGAGCAAAATCAACATGAAGGCGACCTGAATCCTTTTTGTCTGTGCTAGATCCTAATCTCATGCGGTAACCTGAAATCAACAAGTAGAACTAACGGTTGCAGGATTTATTTGCTTAAATTTCTCTTCACTTTTTCCCCCCTTTTCAAGTGCAGCCAGGTAAAAATGTAAATTAACAGATTCCCACATATCTATGCAATATCTATCAATCACCATGCTTTCACAAGAAGATAAACATCCATCCACTCATTTTTCTTCACCATTTCCTGTACCACCTATCACCATAGTACATGAACTGAAAAGTCAACCCTAAGGTATAGAACCTACATTTATGTTTAGAAATCTCTCAAAATACATAATTTTTCCACATGATGCTTCCAACTTTTAAAAGCAGAGAAGTCAGATAAACAAAAACCAATTATTTAAAATAGATCTGTTTTAGTCTGAATGGAGAGTCCTTCTTCCACTGATCCTGTTGAGATCATGTTCAGTCTAGTGTTTTTCTCCACCCTGCCAATGGAATTGGAAATATGGGGAAAGGCCGAATTTTCTAAAAGTCATGACTATAGCTGAACGTGGAAATTGTGCTACATAAACTCCTGTGCCACAAAGAGGAAGGTTCAATAACTACAGTTATGCTAGATCTCAAATTTTGAGACTTTACAATTGCAACACTATTTTCAAATTCCCCAGTGAAAATAATCTAGCAGCAAATATAAATCACCTGCAAATTAATTGAGTTCATCATTCCTTAAAGTAATTTCTAAAGTAGGGACAGATTTATTAGGCATTTGCAAGACTCCTTTCAGAACAAATAATGAAACCTGTTGTGCCTTATCTTTAGGGATATTCTGCATATTCATAATTTGGCCAATGTATCACATTCTAAAGTTAGCAAACTGCAAAGCTTTAACTTAAGGGCTACACAAGCAGCACAAAAGGGTCCTGCTCTGAACTAAAACTGTTGACTACTGTCAGAGGTCAAAAACATCATGCCACTCCTACAGGCTCCTCCTATAAGAGGAGCTTTTTGTGGCCATATTTGGGCACCTGTCTTTTTTCCAAGTTTTATTTCTAAGGCACAAATATATACACAGAGCAGTTCATCTAACTTTTAAAATGCCAACTCAGAGAAAGTGTGAGAAAATACTATGTAGGAGGCTTCAAACAGAACCTTCAATTGTGGGTAAAATTAATCAGTCTACACAGGATAGCTCCAATTTCTCCATGCCAACACACAACAGCCCAGCAGAGATTTCTCAAATGATGGGATGCTGAAGAGATGAATTCTGTGCTGAGCTGGCACACAGGAAGCTCTTCAGAAATGCACACTACTGCAACCACTGCATAATAACTCCTGACATTTCTATTCAAAATGTCAGGAAAAATGGTGTTTGCTGCTTTTGATCTGCAATCCAAGAGAACCTACCTTCCAATCTTGTGGTTTGCCTGTGTTTTAAGAGCTTTAGCACCTCACCACCACAGTTAAAACTCAGTTCTGAGCTCCCTCCAGGAACAGCAAAGCTGAGAATTGTGTAGTAGATTAAGCACATCCTCGCAGAATTGTGTATCTGTTTTACTGCTGGAAGGACATCCTGCTGTATGAATACAAGGTATTGTCTGTACTACAGCACACATGAGACAATAGCTTCAAAGACATTAAATATCCATATATGCAGTAATCCTTCAAATAAAAAAATAATCTGGGTGCCTTTTGATTTGATATTTTCCTTTCAAACACCTTGTGGAGTTCAGCTAAGGAGTCTGCAGGTGAGGAAAAGATATGACTTTCATTGTCCAGCAAGGAGTGCAAACCCAGATGAAAAACTTAAGCTAAGTGTTACAGAGGTCCTTCAAAACCAAAAGGCATAAAGAACTGCCTTACCAAGGAATAGTTTTGATAGGTTCCTACCAATGGAACCTATCAAATCTGGTCAGCAGATTCAGGAGCCTGGAGTGAAGTAAAACCAGATATTGTAGGAGTGGCAAAGGAGGGGACTGTTTATTATTTTAAATTCCTCTTGGCTTTGCTTTCTCTAGCTTAGAGAAGAAAACACCAGTCTTTCCCCCCAAAAGGTTTTTTGTGGCCATATATGTAGCTCTAGTCCCAAGGCATTGAAGGGAAGAGTTACAGATACACCCTATTCAGTGCGACATAATAGAAGAAGAGTGTGGGTGACCTTTCAGAACTGGGCTCTGAACTAATGAGGATGTAATTATATGGTTTTATCCACAGAGGTGTAGGCACAAAGGAGTCAGCCAAAAGGGGTCAGTGACAACTGTGACAAATGTTAGCCCCCTGCTCCCCGCCAGTTTGGCGTGCCAGCTGCATTCCTCACACAGTGTTTGCTCTGTGCCAGAACAGCATTATCAGCAATGCAAAGGACACTGCCAAGGTGCCAGGTCTCGTGAACCTAAAATTAGATCTCCCAGCTGGGCTGCACTTTCCAGGAAGACTCAATCTCTCTTCCCCTCCCTCCTCCATCCTTCGTCTCCATTGGCGGGAGCACAATAGTTATGGGCAGAGACAGAAATACAGCACTGCAGGAGGCAACGCTCTTGTGGACTTCAAGGCCCCTCACATAGGGAGAATAAAGAGCTAATGAAAAGGACTATGCATCTATAGGTTCTGTGTGCACTGGCAAAGCTGAGTTGTATTGAAGTGGCCCTCATTTTTGAAGTAAATGGGAAAAAAACTTGAACAGTGTACATTGCAGTAGCACTGGACAAATGGTTCCCTTTGGGAAACAAAATTAACAGATTTTGGAAATTTACTATGAATCACACTAAAAAAATGTGACTGCTTGTTTAACTCTAAAGACTGAAGGGGACCAGCCAGCCAAGTGATTACCACCAGCCCAGAAACTTAGAATAACCTAGCTAAGAAGGGACCTTGGGTATCACCTAGTCCAAAGCAGGGTTAGCTTCAAAGTCAGATCAGAATGGTTACAGTTTGGCATCTTTCCCTTAACAAAAACAACAAATGCCTTGAGGATGGTTTCTTGCACCTTCATGGGCTTTGCAGACACTACAGGACCAATGACCTGGCCAGTGAAGAACAGTCTCCTTGATGGTTTGATAACCAGAAGGACTCTGCATGCACAACTGGCAGGTTGTTTTGTACATGAGATCCTCAGGCACCCATCTGTGCTGGAAATTTTGAGCCTCAAGGCAGCTGGGAGGCTCAGGTTTTTTTCAATACCATGTCTCCCTATTGATGTTTGAGGGTGTTTGAATGTGTAAGAGAAACACCTGGCACTGCCTCCCCTTCATGCATGGGCAATGAATTTTTTTCCTCATCTCTTTGCTCAGGGCTGCAGCTAGCATTAACTTTGTGCCTGGCTTGTCATTTTTAATTTCAGGTTTGCACACAGTGGAAGACGAAAAGGCTTTGGGAACTTGCCAAGATCCTCACTTTAAAGGAGCAGAAACAGGAAAAGTTAATGAAAGTGCTAAATAAAAATCAAACAGTATTTTCATATCACAGGTCTAGTGCAAACTCCATGGCTTGACTTACCTTTGAGTGTTGCTATACTGGGCACCAGCCAATAGCTGAGGGCTAACTGGGGATCTAGATCAGAGTGTTAATGGTGATCAGAGAGAACTTAAAATGAAACAAGTAAATGGTACTGAAAGGAAACCCACAGGGGGAAATATCAGCACAGGAAAAATGCACACATGGGCTTTTGGGGTATAAACAGATCTGTCTCCAGACACCTGTTTGTCCCATATATTCAAGTCTGGGGCCATCAATATTTGCAGGAGTTACTGAATTTTCAGCCAAAAGAGTAAAGTACATACAGTTTTGAGAAAGAGCTTTCTCATGGGCTGGTATGATGGTTTTGGAAAGTCTTTTCCTTGGGAGATCAAAATATATCTTTAAAAGTTAAATGAAATCTAGCCTTCCTCAAGTCGACATTCTTATCATAGTCTTCTATCCATCTTCCAGTCTCCCTTTTCATACACGTGTACTTGGGAGTACAAAGGAAAAAAAAAACCCAGTGATTAAACTGCTTGATGGATTTTGTAATCACTTGCTCTATTCTGATGATAAGCATGGGATAAATGCAAAACTTGATGAGATTAGATGGGGTAGATAGATAAAACTGATTAGGTAGACAAAATTATCATTATATCAGAAATATCAAAGGCATGACTTTCCCCTAATATAACACACATATTATATTTGTACATCTCTTTTGTCTCTTACAGGGAAAATAAAATGCCTCAAAAATATGCTTTGTTCCCACCATTTCAGAATATATTATGTTTGAGAATAGAATAAAGACTGGTAAAACCCCTCCTGATATTTAAGGACAAGGAAAACATGCCCCTGCCTAGTGCCAGACCTCCCTGGTAGTGGTGGGGGACAGTCAGTGCTTCATGTTTCATCTGCACAGTTCAGCAGCCTTGCTAAAAAGAAGTGGAACTTGCCTACAGAGTGCTCCTGCATTTCTTTCTCATCCCTGTCAGTTGCACTGGCTCTTTCCCTGGTCTGGCTGGAGACAATAGGTACAACACTTTGGAAGAATGAAAAGGAGGGAGGAAAACACGGATGGGAAGGGAGGCTGCGGAGCAGACGTAAGAGGAAGGACAGGCAGCAGTGCAACTGTGACGGAAGAAAAGAGAAGAGGGAATGATGTACCAGGAACTTGGAATTAAATTTGCAGAAAATTCAGAATGAGAAAGAATGAGGAAAGGAATCTTTCACCTTTGTTTCTGCTCATGTCCTCCCTTCTGAGTGAACACTGATGCATTATGAATGAGGACACACAGCAGCACACAGAATTTCCTACCTCTATGGTCCCTTCAGGATTTAAGGCAAATGAAATTAAACTAAAACTTGACTTGGAGTGAAGTAAAGTGTGCAGCCAACTGCTGAGAAGCAGGAAACTGAGCTAGAGGAACACTGTTTCTGACCCAGGGTGGCAGCCTGTATATTTTTGAGCTTTTCTTTGCTCTCTTTTTTGCCACTGTTTTCTTTATCATAATCCAGTAATACCAGTTCCAACTGAATCTGGTGTGCCCCTCTTCTTTTCTGTTACTAGGGTCCCCTAAAGAGAAGCTTGAAGCTGGTAAATGTACTACTGCTTGTGATGCCTCTAATCTGCTGCAATGATCTACAGCATTTTGGAAGTAACATGAATAAACAAATAAATGAGAAGCATGGAAATCAGGAAGAGAGGATAGGGGAGGAGGGGCCGTAAGAACTGAAGTGAAAATTAAAAAAACAAAAAAAAGAAAAATCTGGAGTGGAATAAAGATCTGGCATAAACCTGAAAATATAGCAATATTTCAAAGAAATCTTTACACAGACCCCATAAAACTCATAATTTTCTATACTTCTTCAAACAGGTATTTAAAGCAAGCAGCCAAGTTAGGAAAATAAACCTCAAACAACCTAAAAACCCTAGGGAAAACCTTTGAGAAACAAAGGAGCTAGGTTCTTCCTGATGACATATTTAAAAAGTTGAGAGGCTTTCTTTCTTTCTTTCTTTCTTTCTTTCTTTCTTTCTTTCTTTCTTTCTTTCTTTCTTTCTTTCTTTCTTTCTTTCTTTCTTTCTTTCTTTCTCTATTTCTCCTTCTTTCTCTCTCTTTCTCTCCTTTCTCTTTCTTTCTATATCGGTGATGGTGATTTGAGAGACAGCTTGTTTCCAGCTGGGGGAGCTTCCTATGGACACCTAGAGGATGTTGAGATTCTGTCCTTATTGCTAAACAGAAGATGGTCAGGGTGGGAGCTCAAACAAGAGTCCTGAGTTTTTAACTCTCCCCCAGGTTCAAAAGGATGGTCCCAGTGGGTGCTTTGAGGTCACCTTACACAGGGTGGGTGTAAGTAAGCCAGTCTGTGTCAGCTTGTCTTGGCCAAGGAGCACTCCCTGCACCTTGTTTATTCAAGAATACATTGCATATGGGTTGAAAGTGACTACAATTGTCAGGCAAAACGGTGCTTTTGAGTCTCTCCAGGACCCAGAAAGATGGACAAACCAGCCTGTGGAGTGCAGACAAATACAGACAGTGCATGTGAGCCAAGTCAGTAAGGTGAAAAAGGACTTGTTTAGCAAGTCAATCCTCAAATGACAGAAATTAACCTTAACAGGACACTGACAGTCACAGAAGCCAAAAAATGTGAAAGCAGACTTATTTTTCATCTTTTTTTCTTGATTTTTTTTTTCCCCTGTGAATTAGAGATTGGGGGAGGAGGGGGTTGTTTCCTTGTTTTTTTGTTTTGTTTTGAGGGGTTTTTTTTTTGTCTGTTCCTTTGTTGGAAAATAAAGAGATTCTGAAATTTTACACCCTGTAATTTCTGCAGCACTCATTGTCATGGGAGGCAACAGACGTAGCCTACAGATGGGGCTCAGAATCTAACCCATGCGCTAGCTGAATACATGCATGCATAAAGACAGACTTTATTCAGGCTGCACCACAAATCTATAAAAATATGCCAGTAAAATTGCCAGCCTATCAGAAAAATTGGCACTGGAAAACAGCAGAGTTCCTGGCCCGGTGCCCTCCTCTTTCCACAACCTGTGAGCAAAACCATATAAACCTGTGTAAATCGAAAATAAGATTGTTCTGTAGTGAATTTCAGGTTCTGTTGCATTGTTGTGGGATGGCAGGAAATTGCTCCCAGGTAAGTAACATACAACACCATGCATGAGTCTTGGCAGACAGGGAAAAATAACATAATTGCCCCTTGCCACTTCATGCTACAGTCACTGAGTTCAAGAAAGACTTGCTGAGATAAAAGTTAAGAAAATTAAGCAAGCATTAACATCACAAAATACAAATGAGAAGCAAGGAAAATCCATTAAAGAATGTGAAGTACCAGAAAGGTAAATGGCTTTATCAACCATGAACTCCTCTGCAAAACGAATGTGACAAAAATTCTTCTTGCTTTTCCGAATTGCTGTTATATCTCCACACTGCTCAAAGACTTCCTGAATAATTTCCTCCGTTGCATTTTCTGGTAATCCTCCAACAAACACGGTTTTACACCCAGGAGGTCTCTCTCTTGTTGAAGGTGGTGGAAGATCTAAGTCAAAACAGAAATCACATTGGAATACAAAATCTGTCTTTTGATCCATTGGCTCTATTCACCCCTTTAATCAGTTCTGGGCAGCAACAGTTACCTGACATAGAGGCAGAAGAGAGGGACAAGCAAAATAATTGAATATTGCAAAGATTATCCAAAATTGATCACTTGAATCTAAACCCTTTCAAGCTTCAGGTGGTACTTCAAACATTTAGTCCTGCCACTGCAGGACAGACAGTGTGGTCTAAAAGGGTTTTTTCTTCCCTGTACAGCCCCACAAAAAACAGAAAAATATTCTGTTTCAAAGCAGAGGCGTTTCTGCAACTGATTTGACCCTGAGCACAGATCTCAGGCTCTAGTGCAGTGCATTCAAAGCCTGAACTGCACCATCTCTGGCTCATACCCATCACTCGCCATGCTCACCATGTGTGTGGGCTGTGAGCAAGCCCATGCTGTGTACACCCTGTGCACTTGGACTGGACACCTTTCCCTGGTATTAGCATAATTTCATTTCTGTCTCAGAGTGCAGGAGCACAGCAAACAGAAAAACAAAGTGGGAAACACAACAAAGTGACAGCATGATGAAAACACTCTGCCGGTTATCTGTTTTGTCTTGTTGCCAGATAATGGAGCAGACGGCAGCACAGGGGAAGGATAACCTCATTGTTTACAAGTGCTCATGAGGTGGAGTAGCTAAAAATGCTGCCTCCATGTATATAGAGAGAGAATTTATACACACTTCTATCGGAAAAACTATTAAATTTTTGAAAGCCATATAAAAATAAAAGCTATCATAACACTTCACCTTGTTTATACACAGTGAAAGTAATTCTCTAAGAATGAATATGACTAATATGACTTACTTTTTGGGCCCTTTAACACAGTAAAGGAGGTTGCAACCTTAAAGTGTACATACATATACATACATACATACTCACATACACAACCAGTTTGATTAAACCGTGATCTGGATACACTGCAAATCCAGAACACCTGAATATTTGCTCAATGTTTTCATTTCACAGTGATAGTGAAAGTCACTGGTATGATGGCTCTGAAACTCATGGGGCCAACATACAAAATCAGAGTTTGTGCCTGAGCTGGTATCTGAGTGGGGAGAGTTTTCCATTTGCACAATAACAGTAGGAACAGGAGGGAACCTGGTCCCTGCTTTCAAAAAGAAGAAGGAACTCATCTGCCATGTTGAACTTTTTGAAAAATGGCAGGAGAGAAGCTGTAGCCCCCTTTCCCTCCATGTCCCTCAAAAAGGGACTGTAGTGAGGCAGTTTGGGGTGCAAGTTACTGTGTTCAGGGACATGAGCCCAGACTGGTCCCATCTAACTACAGGCACCTGAAGGGGAACACAGAGATGAACAGCACCATATAAGTTTTATGTTTTGTGACATCCTGATATACAGGAAAGACAGGTATATACTATGAGCAGTGTAGATCTTTAGGCTGTGTTACTTTTCTATAAGTATTTTTCCTTTTTGTATAAGCATCATAGTTTGTTTTTTTTTTTCTGTGACCTTACAGAGGTGAATAAGGATGCACTTATACCATACCATTCTTTACACACAGAATAGACCTTAGAAGGAAAGACCACACATGCCTGTAATTATAAAGCATAACTGTTATTAGATAAAAAATATTCATGCAGTGTATTTGGGAAAGTAACATTCTTTCTTCAGATCCACTTACTTGGGTTTGGAGGGAAGAGTGTGCAGCTTTTGCAGTGAATTATTTCTTTGACTACAGGCACATCTGTTGGTGGTGGTGGTGGCACTAACCCCATGCCTGGTATCATTGGGTTAATTGGCGTGATTCCAGTCATCATGCTAAGGCTTGGATCAAAGCCTGGTACACAGATTGAATCTGTAAGTATAGAACATAAAATCCTGGCTTATAAATCTTCAAACTACCTGTTAAAATTTTCTTGTATGGACAGTTTCCCTTTAAGTGCATTCTCCTTGTTCGTTTCACAAGCATCACTGTGAGAATTAAGAGAAGGGGAAAAGGTAAAACAGAAAAATGGAAAAGGCAGAGAAATAGGGACAAGAGAGGGAGAAGGAGAGAGAAAGGGAAAGGAAGAGGGAGAGGGGGAGGGGGATGAGGAGGAGGGAGCTGCATTCTCAGCGTAAAAAAATAAACTACACATAAAGAGGGGAATGTTACATAATCTAAAATATTAACATGGCTGAGTAAAATGTAGCACATTAACATGTAAAACCATGCACCATGAATATCTGTTATTATCTGGAATGCAATTTTCTTTACATAATGCTACTGGTCACACTGCTTTCTGCCCAAAGCATAAAAAGAATATAATTTAACATTGATATGTCCTCTCCATCTAATTGTCAGACAGATTTATCACATCATAGCTTTCTCCCATAAGTGACCTTGATTTACAAACAATACAGAGAAAGATCCATTTCTGGCTGCTTTATAGATGTCTAGTTAGCCAAGACTTCTAACCATTTTACCCTGGAATATAAATTTACAGCTGCACAGAATGGAGTCTTTTTGAACCTTGGAATTAATTCCTTCTTGTCCTGTTATTTAATCAGATTAGTAGATTCACCTCAACACATGTACTATTAACATATACCACTACAGCCTCATAAAGTAAAATGAATATTTGGCAAGCATTTCTCTTTCTCCTTCCTGATCTCCTTGCCAAGACTTCCATACGTATTACTTAAAGCTGAAAGATTTACCGGGGAGCACCAGTGCTTTAACACCATGAATTGTAATAAGCAGATGTTTCAGAGGAACCGAGAGCCAACTTCTCAAATTCGCTTTAGTTAAAAACAAGGCTTTGGGTTTCTTGAGGCATAATGAATAAAATATTTTGAGAGACCGATCTCTTTGTTGGCATAACACTGCTGCTATTTGGCATCATCAATTATTTAAAAGAAGAGAGTTACTTTGGTGTTCTACAGATTTTCTGCTGAGTTTTCTGGCTAGCAACTGGAAAGTATTTAATGATACGTGTAAACATGGGGTTTGGTAGCTCAGGAGCTTGTTTATTTTGAAGAAGCAAAGAGGGAAGAGGGAAACAACTCCATCTCAAGCATTTTATACATACATATACACACATATATATATACACACATATATATATATATATGCTTTGAGCTAATTTTAAAAAGGCAGCATGATTAATGAAATGTGACCAGAGAGACACCACTTTCTTCATCCTAAATCTGCTGCTGAGAAGCTATATGGCCCTGGGTCAGCCCACTGACCTTTCTGTATCTTCATTTCTGCGTCTACAAAACAGGCACAGCAATACTCGCTTACTGGTGAGTATTAGCTCACATTTGTATAGCACTTTGCAGGTGTAAAGCACTCTGTGGGGGCTGAAAATTAGCATTATTACTCCTGTGAAACATCCATAATCATGTTCTCCAGGAAGGACAACTGAGGACTGAGATCTACTCGAAAAGAGCTCATATCTGTCTCAGCCGCATGCTCCCTGCTCTTCACGCACTGACTGCGAGCCTTCACCACCTTCAGGCAGTCCTGTACAACAAGCGTAGCAAGTGCACAGTAAGCAAGGATTTGCTTTAGGCTTAGTGAAGACTAATATTAATGAAAAGTCATGATATTACATCGCTTTTTGTAATAAGTGGGTTTTGAAAAAGGATTTGCTCTGGGTATGATGCTTTTTTTTCAGTATTGATGTATATGCATTGCTTTTCAGATTTAGCTTTGAAACTTGGAGGCTGTCATTTATTCTGCAAGATGCAGTGGTGGCCATATATTAAATATTCATGGTGAATGCCGGGAGATGAAGTTAGAGGTGAAAGGGCAACACATAATTCAAACAAGTCCTTAGGCTACGCTAATAATCTTAATCTCAGTTTTACAAATCAGGCTTCTGACAGTCACAGAAGACCACCCTGTGCAGTACTCTCTGGCTGTGGGTGAACCTCCATCTTTGTTACTCACTGCTAAAACATCCCATGGAGCTCAGTGGCATGCAAAGCAGGTCACCACGCTAGCACACAACACACTGTGCCATACCACTCCTCTCCTGGCATGAGGAGATGTCAAATGAGGCATTTTGTCAATCCCTCTGGACAGGTGTAGGGTCTGCTACAGTCCCAGCCAGATATGAAATTTCATATTGAATCCAATATCCACAGCAGAGCTGCAGCATTCTGAAGCACAGGTACAAGATGATGGACAGAAGGCCAAATTCTCCCTGTCCCATAAGCACCTTTCAGGCCCCATGTCACAGCCAAGGAAAAAGATCATCATCTGGCAAGTGCTACCACAAGGTGTATTTAGCTTTTGCTGTTCTGTTCTTAAGACAACCACCAGACACATTTCAGCTTTTCTCCAGGGCTAGTGACATGAAATAACAGCAAACTCTGCCCAAACCACAGGCACATGTTCTCACCCAGAGCAAAGACGGCAGGTTTCAATAAGGTACAGTTTTCTGAATTTTCCTTTGGCAGTGGTGCAGACACAGAGAAAAACAAATCTAAGGGAGATGGCCACCGGGAAACTCATGTCCACAAACACTGCAAATCTGGGCATGGGGAGGAGAGCTTTTAGGTTGCATGCTAATCAGAACAGGTTTGTGAATTAAGCAGAAGAACATTATTTGCCACAATTTCCAAGTACATCTATATTCTAGTAGATGTGACTTTGTAAGTAACTCTGCCTGTGTTAAATAAGTGCACGGCTTTGTCATCAGTTTCTTTTACAACTAGAATCAATCTACAAGAGCATCAGCAAAGTGCTGGGGTCCAGTCCAACACTCATGAAATGTCCTTCTAGGAGTGCCGGGACTCTGTGCCTTCAGAAGGTGACTGTGCTGAGGTATACTGAAGAGGACTCAGTCAATAATTCTTTAAATCTAATTCCACATCTTGCAGGCACTAATCCAAGCCCGGCTAAGGTCAATAGCAAGACTACTGAAGGCACGAACAGATTGTAACCCTGACCAGGTTTAAATTCTCTGTCCTCTTGAATCAGTTGCTTAATTTTTCCAGTGTGTTAAATTGAGAATGAAATGCTTTCACACATAGCATGATCACTGAGAGGATACACAGGCACCAACTCTCCAACATCCTGGAAAAGAAAATCATTCTCTGAAAACTAAAAACTATTATTTTGCATTGCAGTGATGGAAAATCCAGATGAATTTCTAAGGAGTGAAGCTCTTGTTCAGACCCCAGAAGAGACTGGTGGTGCTTGCATCTCCAGAGAAGCTGATGGATGCCACCTGGATATTACTGACAAACCATGACAAGAGACTATAGATGGGGTGTCCAGACAATATACTGGTCTGGACTCTGAGGTGCAGAGAAAAAAGAATGATAAAGTCACCAGAAAAGAAAGTCAATAAATTTGCCATATCTGTGATAGGATCTAGAAGAATCCTAAGTTTAACTATATTAATGCTATTGAGTGGTGCAATAATAGAAGTTGGATATATAGCTCTTGTCTAGAAACAAGGGATGATCATCCATCAGCACAACCACTGCAGTCTGCTCCATGTCCTGGCAAAATGCCTATCTGGAGCAGGGCCAGGACACCAAACTTAGCACTGGAGGCAACTCCTGTTGAACTAACTGGTAAGATTGTTGGTCTTCAGCATGAAAGAAAATTATAACAGTTATGCAAGGATTTCAAAAAATAGGAACCAATCCTGCCCACATATGATTTTTTTAATAGATCTCCTTAAAGATATGATTATTAAGATACTGTAGACTTTAATATGTTACACTAAACAAAAAGATATATTACATTTATAAGCAACACATTGAAGAGTTAAAAAAGCAATACTTTATGTTTTCAGTAATCATGGCATTCTTTTTAAAGGGATCTGTTTATATTTATGCAGTTAGCTAAGGGTTTATAAATTATAAAAACAATCCAGAAGAAGAGACAAAATTTTCATTTAAAAATGTTAATAAAGAATTAATAAATGAAATCATTAAAATGGAAAGTAATCAGAGATCATAAAGAACTTTAAGAATGGAAAAGCACATGTTGATCAAGTTAGAGTCCTTTTGGATACTGTACAAAAGGCTTGAACATTCACACATTTGTATAGGAAAACAGAAGTATTTAACAACAATATTTTGAAGAGAGAATATTTTGAAATGGAGAGGCCTAAATTTGGCAAAGCAAATTAATTCCTGCTCCATCTGATAAGAAATTGGCATGGTGGAGAACAATAAAAATCTCTGGAAAGCAAATATCTGGAAATGGCAGTCAGAGAGACAATAAGAAAAACCTTGAACACGTGGAGTAGCTTTTAAAGCTTCTTTTTCTTTCAAGTGGAATAAAAGAACGAAACATTTCACAGGAAATCTCAGAGTCTGAAAAAAACAGAAGAACAATAAAATTCCTTTGATGAAAACTACATTCTAACACAGTAAGTAGTGTAAAACAATTGCTTTTATTAGGGTCCATCTTGAAACGAAAGGAACAACTTTGTCTTCCATAAAAATAGCCACACAATCCAGTAGAACCATCCTCCTTTCCTTCTTTGGCAATGGTTGCTGTCTGAATCTCCTTATGTTTTTGCCACATCATTGCTGTGTTCAGGTAACAAGGATGTTTATTCCTGCCAGCTCTGCTTTTGGGTATTGCACTCCATCACAAATGTGTAAGTAAGTTACCACCACATTTCCACCAGCCCTTGCCACAAGGTATTAATCTGCTCAAAATCACTTTTTAAGGGTATAATTACAATTCATAGTATTACCCATGGGTGTGTCTTTTTTTTTTTTTTTTTTTTTTTTTTTTTTTTGCCTGCAACTGGCAGTTGTTTCTGTGGAGTTTCATGACAGCTGCCAAGTTGTATTTCTGTTGGATGCATATGAACATCCACAAAACAAGGGTTTGTG